ACAGTATCTTTTGAATCACTTTCAGGATTTAGTTTCCCGCTGATAGACAAAAAAACATGCAACCAACCAAAATGCTCCCTGCTTTAAAGAGTTGAAGCATTTAAAGCAGAAAATGATACAGAATAAAGCCATTATACAGCATGGAAAACAAGCACATCTGTTCGCTTATTATCACATGATTGTAAATAAATGTTTTGTGTGTTTGTGTGTGTGTGCGCGTGCGTGCGTGCCTGTTTCCAGGTGACAGTTTGCTTTGTCAGCTCCAGACCTCACTCCATCAACTTTAGCACTACCGGACTGCTCTTTAGTGGCCTTCTCTTATACTTCTGTGACTCCTTTGTGACTCCTGGATTCCTTAAAAAGTTCCAGTTCCTGAAAGGTAAAGACACAGGAGATAAACTAAAGCTCCGACTTTCTGCTTGCCTGTGTAACACTGTGATAAACACTGGAAAACCCTCTGTTTATTTGCTCTTTGCTACTGTAGGAGCGACTCTGTGTGTGATCTGTCCTAACCGGAGCTCACTGCGCCAGACTGTGGTGCGGCTGGAACTGGAGGACGAATGGCGGTTTCGTCTAAGCGATGAGTTTCAGACCGCAAATGCCAAAGAGGACCATCCTCTCTTTTTCCTCACAGGAAAACACATATGACCGTCAAAGCTCAAAGACTCCATCACTTTGGTCTTATCAAGTGTGCTGTCTGTATATAACATTATCTCTGTACATAATGCACAGGAAGTGCTGTAAATATTCTGCTTGCTTGGTGTTGTTTTTTTTAAGCTCATACAGGAAAACCTGCATATTAACACACTCAAAACAGGATTAACTCCAATTATTTTATTATTGTTTAAAATGTATTTATTTACTGTGTCCTTTCTATGTTTTTATCTTTCTATGTTTTATTGTTTGACGTTTTAATTGTTTTTCTGTCACAGTCGGATCTTTTAACGTCAGCTCGATGCAGCTATGAAGTGTTTAAAAACTGATTGAAGTATTTTGTAGAAAAGAGTATTTTTGTAGCAGTATTGGCGTGTTCTGTGATGCGTGTGGAGAGCGTAATGTTATTAAAGTACTTATACATTTCAGATCTCTGCTTGTTATTGATTTTGTTTTGCTGTACCCCTCTATGAACACTAGAGGGCGAAATAATATCTATTTCTCTTTCTAACCCTCACACACTCACTGTTTTTGAGAGTTAATATATGATGCAAACTATAAAGGCCTAAAGATATTTCTTCCAAATAAATATTTTGTAATTTAGAAGGTTTTTTTTTCTGACAATAAATACAAAAAATGTGATAATGCACCCTCATTTTTTGTGTGTACATGTTTTTGTGACATCTCAGTTCAAAAATCTGTATAACTACATGTGTATGACACATATTAAAAGAAGGTGGTGGATTATGAGGACATTGCTGATGTTCTCATTTCTCAAAGAGCTTATAAATTATACAGAATGACTTCAGAAAGTAAAACAGTTCCTGTAAGAGTTGAGTTTAGGGATAGGGTTGGGTGTAGGGCAATAGAAAATGCAGCTTGTACACTAAACTCACCGGCCACTTTATTAGGTACACCTTACTTGTACTAGGTACATTCTGAGTAGCATTAGTACTGCACATTTATGATGTGAATCTCCCATTCACCACATACCAAAGGTGCTCTACTGAGTTGGGATCTGGTGACTGTGGAGGCCATTTGAGTACAGTAAACTCTTTGTCATGTTCAAAAATATCCCCCCCACCATTACACCACCACCACCAGCCTGAACCATTTTGATCACGTCTACTTGCCTAAACACATTGAGTTGCTGCCATGTGATCAGAAAGGGGATTTAAAATTTGCATTATCGAGCAGTTGGACAGGTGTACCTAATAAAATGGCCGGTAAGCGTCTCCACAATTCTCAAAAACAAACCTGTGTGTGAGCACGTGTGAGCTTAAAAAATGTACTGATACAATTATTAACAGAATAAATGTTCCTTTTGACGTGAACATTTTGCATTATTTTACATTAATAATGCATTCAGGTTACTGTAAAATATGCATTTGTTGTATATCATTCCAGTTTAAGAAACAATAAAAAGTGTTATAAACAAGACTTTCAATCTGTCATCTTTATAATGTTTCTAATTCTTTTTATATCAATAGATTTTTAAAACATCCCTATATACTTTACATTATAAGTAAATAACAGCAGAAGACAAAAAACAGGTTTTCTTTCACACAAAACTGAAAATCCTGCCGTAATTTACGCTCACTTCCTTTATTCTTATTTAAAGAAATTTTTTTAAAGAAAGCTGGAAACCTGTAACCATTGACTTCCATAGTATTTGTTTTTCCTACTATGGAAATAAATGGTTACAGGTTTCAGCTTTTTTCTAAATATGGCATTTAGTGTTCAACAGAAGACAGAAACTTACAAAAGTTTGAAACCACATGTGCCTGAGTGAACTAGTACAATTTGATTTGGGGGTGAACTGTCCCTTTAAGAACAACTCCAAATCAATGTTTAATATTTTCAAGTTGAAATCAATAAGGGAGGCTTGTGTTTTACATAATATTTTGTTTTATAGAAAATAAATAAGGCTACAGTAGAACTGACAACCAGTAACATATAACTAGCCAGAGCAATGTCTGTAATTAACGTTAACGTGTTGTGTACAACATTATGACGGAGCGGCAGGCTAACGTAATACCCATGCTTTTCGTTTTATGTCAGGAATTACTGACACTTGCATTTGGCTAAACTTAAAAACGATTCAATACATACAGAATTCACTACCCACCATATCTTTGATGAAGGAAATCGCCCGAATATGATGTTTCGGAGGAGCTCTGCCATTGCTGCGCTGGAATTTAAACCTTATCCAACAAACGACTCTCACGCGCATGCGTACACGCGCTTTTGCTGCAAGGTTTGTTCGCCAAACACAAATACTATTTTCACTTCTGTTTGATAAATTTCCAAAGCACAGTTTTATGTTTGGTGAATGAATATTTGTAATTTTTACTTCAGACCATCAGCTAAAATTAATAATGTGGATTTTTTTTTTTTTTTTTCGTTTGGGGCTTATTATGGTGAAGTCATTTATTGAGTCAATATTTAATTGTCAGCGTCAACAATTATTTTATTTACAGTGTAATTTTGTTTTATAGAATCTAATAGTGAAATAATTAATGCAAAAATATGATCAGATAAAAAAAAAACGTATTTGAAATTTGGTTAAATAAAGTTTGATTGCGACAAAATTTGATTAAAATTGATTATGAAAATAAATAAATAAGTAAATAATTAAATAAAAGACAAAATTGTATGTATGTTTTCGTTTTTATTATTGTTTTGGGATCTAGATCTGATTATGATAAAAAATAATAATAATTATAATTATCAGGATATCTGCTTACCCCCAACTGATTTTAATGAAATTTAACTGAAAGTGTTAATGTTTCTGTATTACACATTTTGTTTAGTTCACACTATATTTACTTATTTATAATGTAAAAATGACACAATGTGTAATAGAGAAGCAATAGAGAAGAACTCCTCTACTGCTCTGATTGACTTTCTGCTGATCAAGTGTTGTTTACATTTAATTGACTCCAATATTCTGTCACCACGGCAACCAGAGTTTACACTGACATCAACACATCTCTCTGAATCTGATCACTTGAGCTCTTTCAACTCTTCACTTTGACAAGTTTCACCAGATTGTCTGATTTGGAAAGTTGATAATCATGGAGCAGCGGCGCCTCAGACGAACCAGGAGTCTTCCAGCACACCTGAAGGACTTCCTGCTGGAGGGTGTCCCGTCGGTTCAGGATCCTGCAGCTGTGATCAGGTTGGATCATACTTACAGCTGTATCTCTTCCCCAGGTCTGAAGGAGCATCACCTGAAGAACGCAGCTGTCCTGCCCCAAATCCGTCCAGCATCCTCAGTGCCTTCAGTGGACGTGGGACAGCAGGAGGAGCCACTCTCGATCCATGGCTACAGCGTTCAGGCCTACCAGGACATCTACCGCTCTGTGGTCGAGCCCATGCTCAAGAGTCGTCCCTACAGCCTTCAGCTGGGCCTGGAGATCAAGCAGCGGCTGTGGGAGGCGCTCAGGTGTCCTGTGATGGAGGAGACGGTGCTGGCTGATGGACGAATCCTCATTACAGAACGCAGATGTGGGTCCAGACCAAACATCATGGCTCCTCGAGTCCATGTGGACATCAGTGGAGAGCCACTGCCTGAGAAGCCCAGCAGAAAGAGGGCCAGACGCTGAGTCTCCACAGTGTCCCAAACCACACTGCAGGCCTGCGTATGTATATAGTGTACATAGTTGTAGAGCAAGTTCACAGTAAGTTTCCTTTTGCATGTTTTGTTTCATCAATTGGTTGTTTTTATTGATTCTTGGTGTTGGTGACTTGAAGTTCTTGGTTTGCTCGGTGGTCTTCAGGATGTTTCAGGTGGTTTTCTGCACGGTTGTCGAGGTTTTCTGAGCGGTTGTTCTCGTGTTGCTGGTCGGTCGCTGGACTCTTCTGAGAGTTTCGATGCGTTTAGTGATTTGCGGTGTCTGTTAGGTTAGGGTAGGTTAGGTTAGGGTCCCTCACGTGGTTTGCAGCTTGACGTGCTGTGAGGGCTTGTGTGCATCAGTGATGCTGAGAGCTTCGCCACTGGTACTTCACAGATACCGGCAGGGTCACCCATAGTGGACTGGTCTCAGCGGAGATGCCCGACTAAGACAAACCAGCTGATTCTGGACAGCAGATTTACATCAGAATCACCTGAAGATGTGGAAGTCGCAGGATTCGTGGAAGCAACCATTCTAAATAAATGAATCAATTAATAAATTTGTCATTTAATACATATAAAAGAGGCTGCGATTCTTTTCTTTTTCCTCTATTCTGTTGATTTTTATCAAGTTATAATTAATAAATAAAAGTAACAATTCTGGAATTATTATTACCCTTTTAACCTGATTTTCAAAACAACCCACCACTAATTGCACTATTAAAACTATAATAAAACTATAATAAAATAAGCCATAATAATAATAATCATAATAATAAAACATACACCAAATAAAACAAATGTTTAAATAATTTATTAAATTTTTTGATTGAATAATATTTACAATTATGTTATAAATATAAATTCTAATTATTTATACGCTGTAAAAAATGAATCAATATAATATTTATTTAAATAAATTTAAATATAATTTACTCCCCAAACTTCATTTCCTAGTGACTGGTCACATCTAAATTCAATTGTGGCAACAGCCTGTCAACATTGGCTCAATGAGAAATAATGTGTTGAGCCAATAAAAAAACCATCAAGTCTGCTCAATCATGTTTTTGGCCCAATTGAATGTTTTAGATTGTGTGCAACAAGCTTTTTCGGTTTCACCTAATTAAAAAATGTATATTGGTTAATTGTATATTGGTAAACAATGCTAAAGCAACTTTACTGAATTGTTTATTCCTCGTTGTCCTAAAAGAAAATGAATAATAGAATATACAAAATCAAAATACACTAAACACTGCCACATTTATTTATTTATTTATTTATTTATTTATTTTCATTAAAGAGACGCTATTGTAAAAGTACTTTAGAATAACAAATACATTACACATTTCAACAAAGTATACCCTATAAATTCCAGCATTTTATTTCTCCTATTATTGACCTCATTCTTTAAGGCGGAAGTTTTTCCGATTTGTTTCAGAACATCTGATTCAGTGCCCTGTGGGAGAAATGACTAGGAATATTAAACAGCAGAAAACAGACAAACTACTTGCTCTACAAACTAGTGTGTTTATGACTCTACAGACAAAGCAGAATAATATATTAAGAAAATATCAGTTTGCAACATCAAGCATCATAACAAACAGTTTTTAACGTCTAAAAATCAATGGAAGTGAATGAGAGCGGAAATCTCCAGCCAAAAAGAAGTGAGGAATAAGGTCAATACATAGAGCTAAAGTGTACTTAATATATATCCCAAATATCTGCAAAAATATATAAAATAAAAAAATAAAAACAGCATAAAATGTGAGTATTTTTGTGCGGTTACTTTAACCATTGTTTAGTGTTGTCACCTGGATACTTTCATTCTACAAAAGATAATCTGAACTTATGAAATCACATTTTTAATGGTTAAACCCATTCATTAACATTAAACATCTAATATATTTGCATATAAACAATGAACGGTTCATTCCGCTGTGGCTCCCCCTGATAAACAGGGGACTGAGCTGAAGGAAAATTAATAAACGAATATTAAAATCGTCAAAAGCACCATCAAATCTAAACAATGGGTTCCTTTACCCAGTTGACACAGATGATTCCAGAACAGAAAAAAACTCACAAAAGTTTCAAGAAAAGTAAAAAAAAAATCTTCAAGAGGAACTTCAAGCACATAAAGCTGCATCTGTTTCAAATATTTACCATGTGAACCTATTTAGTCATCGTATTCCAGGTTGAGTAGATACTATAATCCAAAAGCACAGAAGATGCATTGATAAAGTCTCCTATTGTCGAGCACCATCATCTCCTCTTCCAGGACAGCAGACATTCAGCACAGTTGACAGGGCTCTTAAACTTCATCATGCTCCTGATGCTAACAAGGATTCCCATCTTCATTGCATCTCTGTGGTTTTCCAATGGCCCTGTATGTTAGAAATATAAAACGGCAATGTCAATATTAAGCCTATATCAAATACATATTCAAATGTCACCATAATACTGTGTCATTTTCAAAAACACTATTCCTGTTGGATCACAAATGTAATTTTACAATAACAGAATGTGGATGTTCACATAGTTATTAGCATAGTAACACTATAGTAGTTAATACTTTCCATACTGTGAGAATGCTATGTGGTAAATTGCGCATTTATATGTAAAATGTCACTTTGGCCAGGCACCTGTTTGTTTACCGCAATGCTTCTAAATATCATTTACAGTGAGTAAATAACAGCAGAAGACAAAAAACAGGTTTTCTTTCACACAGAACTGAAAATCCTGCCGTAATTTACGCTCCCCTCATTTATTCCAAACCTGTTTTTCTTTCAATCTTCTGTAAAGAAAATATTTTAAAGAAAGCTGGAAACCTGTAACCATCGACTTCCATAGTATTTGTTTTTCCTACTGTGGAAATAAACGGTTACAGGTTTCAGCTTTTTTCTAAATATGGCATTTAGTGTTCAACAGAAGACAGAAACTTACAAAAGTTTGAAACCACATGTGCCTGAGTGAACTAGTACAATTGGATTTGGGGGTGAACTGTCCCTTTAAGAACAACTCCAAATCAATGTTTAATATTTTCAAGTTGAAATCAATAAGGGAGGCTTGTGTTTTACATAATATTTTGTTTTATAGAAAATAAATAAGGCTACAGTAGAACTGACAACCGGTAACATATAACTAGCCAGAGCAATGTCTGTAATTAACGTTAACGTGTTGTGTACAACATTATGACGGAGCGGCAGGCTAACGTAATACCCATGCTTTTCGTTTTATGTCAGGAATTACTGACACTTGCATTTGGCTAAACTTAAAAACGATTCAATACATACAGAATTCACTACTCACCATATCTTTGATGAGGGAAATCGCCTGAATATGATGTTTCGGAGGAGCTCTGCCATTGCGGCGCTGGAATTTAAACCTTATCCAACAAACGACTCTCACGCGCATGCGTACACGCGCTTTTGCTGCAAGGTTTGTTCGCCAAACACAAATACTATTTTCACTTCTGTTTGATAAATTTCCAAAGCACAGTTTTATGTTTGGTGAATGAATATTTGTAATTTTTACTTCAGACCATCAGCTAAAATTAATAATGTGGATTTTTTATTTTTTTTCGTTTGGGGCTTATTATGGTGAAGTCGTTTGTTGAGTCAATATTTAATTGTCAGCGTCAACAATTATTTTATTTACAGTGTAATTTTGTTTTATAGCATCTAATAATGAAATAATTAATGCAAAAATATGATCAGATAAAAAAAAAACGTATTTGAAATTTGGTAAAATAAAGTTTGATTGCGACAAAATTTGATTAAAATTGATTATGAAAATAAATAAATAAGTAAATAATTAAATAAAAGACAAAATTGTATGTATGTTTTCGTTTTTACTATTGTTTTGGGATCTAGATCTGATTATGATAAAAAATAATAATAATTATAATTATCAGGATATCTGCTTACCCCCAACTGATTTTAATGAAATTTAACTGAAAGTGTTAATGTTTCTGTATTACACATTTTGTTTAGTTCACACTATATTTACTTATTTATAATGTAAAAATGACACAATGTGTAATAGAGAAGCAATAGAGAAGAACTCCTCTACTGCTCTGATTGACTTTCTGCTGATCAAGTGTTGTTTACATTTAATTGACTCCAATATTCTGTCACCACGGCAACCAGAGTTTACACTGACATCAACACATCTCTCTGAATCTGATCGCTTGAGCTCTTTCAACTCTTCACTTTGACAAGTTTCACCAGATTGTCTGATTTGGAAAGTTGATAATCATGGAGCAGCGGCGCCTCAGACGAACCAGGAGTCTTCCAGCACACCTGAAGGACTTCCTGCTGGAGGGTGTCCCGTCGGTTCAGGATCCTGCAGCTGTGATCAGGTTGGATCATACTTACAGCTGTATCTCTTCCCCAGGTCTGAAGGAGCATCACCTGAAGAACGCAGCTGTCCTGCCCCAAATCCGTCCAGCATCCTCAGTGCCTTCAGTGGACGTGGGACAGCAGGAGGAGCCACTCTCGATCCATGGCTACAGCGTTCAGGCCTACCAGGACATCTACCGCTCTGTGGTCGAGCCCATGCTCAAGAGTCGTCCCTACAGCCTTCAGCTGGGCCTGGAGATCAAGCAGCGGCTGTGGGAGGCGCTCAGGTGTCCTGTGATGGAGGAGACGGTGCTGGCTGATGGACGAATCCTCATTACAGAACGCAGATGTGGGTCCAGACCAAACATCATGGCTCCTCGAGTCCATGTGGACATCAGTGGAGAGCCACTGCCTGAGAAGCCCAGCAGAAAGAGGGCCAGACGCTGAGTCTCCACAGTGTCCCAAACCACACTGCAGGCCTGCGTATGTATATAGTGTACATAGTTGTAGAGCAAGTTCACAGTAAGTTTCCTTTTGCATGTTTTGTTTCATCAATTGGTTGTTTTTATTGATTCTTGGTGTTGGTGACTTGAAGTTCTTGGTTTGCTCGGTGGTCTTCAGGATGTTTCAGGTGGTTTTCTGCACGGTTGTCGAGGTTTTCTGAGCGGTTGTTCTCGTGTTGCTGGTCGGTCGCTGGACTCTTCTGAGAGTTTCGATGCGTTTAGTGATTTGCGGTGTCTGTTAGGTTAGGGTAGGTTAGGTTAGGGTCCCTCACGTGGTTTGCAGCTTGACGTGCTGTGAGGGCTTGTGTGCATCAGTGATGCTGAGAGCTTCGCCACTGGTACTTCACAGATACCGGCAGGGTCACCCATAGTGGACTGGTCTCAGCGGAGATGCCCGACTAAGACAAACCAGCTGATTCTGGACAGCAGATTTACATCAGAATCACCTGAAGATGTGGAAGTCGCAGGATTCGTGGAAGCAACCATTCTAAATAAATGAATCAATTAATAAATTTGTCATTTAATACATATAAAAGAGGCTGCGATTCTTTTCTTTTTCCTCTATTCTGTTGATTTTTATCAAGTTATAATTAATAAATAAAAGTAACAATTCTGGAATTATTATTACCCTTTTAACCTGATTTTCAAAACAACCCACCACTAATTGCACTATTAAAACTATAATAAAACTATAATAAAATAAGCCATAATAATAATAATCATAATAATAAAACATACACCAAATAAAACAAATGTTTAAATAATTTATTAAATTTTTTGATTGAATAATATTTACAATTATGTTATAAATATAAATTCTAATTATTTATACGCTGTAAAAAATGAATCAATATAATATTTATTTAAATAAATTTAAATATAATTTACTCCCCAAACTTCATTTCCTAGTGACTGGTCACATCTAAATTCAATTGTGGCAACAGCCTGTCAACATTGGCTCAATGAGAAATAATGTGTTGAGCCAATAAAAAAACCATCAAGTCTGCTCAATCATGTTTTTGGCCCAATTGAATGTTTTAGATTGTGTGCAACAAGCTTTTTCGGTTTCACCTAATTAAAAAATGTATATTGGTTAATTGTATATTGGTAAACAATGCTAAAGCAACTTTACTGAATTGTTTATTCCTCGTTGTCCTAAAAGAAAATGAATAATAGAATATACAAAATCAAAATACACTAAACACTGCCACATTTATTTATTTATTTATTTATTTATTTATTTTCATTAAAGAGACGCTATTGTAAAAGTACTTTAGAATAACAAATACATTACACATTTCAACAAAGTATACCCTATAAATTCCAGCATTTTATTTCTCCTATTATTGACCTCATTCTTTAAGGCGGAAGTTTTTCCGATTTGTTTCAGAACATCTGATTCAGTGCCCTGTGGGAGAAATGACTAGGAATATTAAACAGCAGAAAACAGACAAACTACTTGCTCTACAAACTAGTGTGTTTATGACTCTACAGACAAAGCAGAATAATATATTAAGAAAATATCAGTTTGCAACATCAAGCATCATAACAAACAGTTTTTAACGTCTAAAAATCAATGGAAGTGAATGAGAGCGGAAATCTCCAGCCAAAAAGAAGTGAGGAATAAGGTCAATACATAGAGCTAAAGTGTACTTAATATATATCCCAAATATCTGCAAAAATATATAAAATAAAAAAATAAAAACAGCATAAAATGTGAGTATTTTTGTGCGGTTACTTTAACCATTGTTTAGTGTTGTCACCTGGATACTTTCATTCTACAAAAGATAATCTGAACTTATGAAATCACATTTTTAATGGTTAAACCCATTCATTAACATTAAACATCTAATATATTTGCATATAAACAATGAACGGTTCATTCCGCTGTGGCTCCCCCTGATAAACAGGGGACTGAGCTGAAGGAAAATTAATAAACGAATATTAAAATCGTCAAAAGCACCATCAAATCTAAACAATGGGTTCCTTTACCCAGTTGACACAGATGATTCCAGAACAGAAAAAAACTCACAAAAGTTTCAAGAAAAGTAAAAAAAAAATCTTCAAGAGGAACTTCAAGCACATAAAGCTGCATCTGTTTCAAATATTTACCATGTGAACCTATTTAGTCATCGTATTCCAGGTTGAGTAGATACTATAATCCAAAAGCACAGAAGATGCATTGATAAAGTCTCCTATTGTCGAGCACCATCATCTCCTCTTCCAGGACAGCAGACATTCAGCACAGTTGACAGGGCTCTTAAACTTCATCATGCTCCTGATGCTAACAAGGATTCCCATCTTCATTGCATCTCTGTGGTTTTCCAATGGCCCTGTATGTTAGAAATATAAAACGGCAATGTCAATATTAAGCCTATATCAAATACATATTCAAATGTCACCATAATACTGTGTCATTTTCAAAAACACTATTCCTGTTGGATCACAAATGTAATTTTACAATAACAGAATGTGGATGTTCACATAGTTATTAGCATAGTAACACTATAGTAGTTAATACTTTCCATACTGTGAGAATGCTATGTGGTAAATTGCGCATTTATATGTAAAATGTCACTTTGGCCAGGCACCTGTTTGTTTACCGCAATGCTTCTAAATATCATTTACAGTGAGTAAATAACAGCAGAAGACAAAAAACAGGTTTTCTTTCACACAGAACTGAAAATCCTGCCGTAATTTACGCTCCCCTCATTTATTCCAAACCTGTTTTTCTTTCAATCTTCTGTAAAGAAAATATTTTAAAGAAAGCTGGAAACCTGTAACCATCGACTTCCATAGTATTTGTTTTTCCTACTGTGGAAATAAACGGTTACAGGTTTCAGCTTTTTTCTAAATATGGCATTTAGTGTTCAACAGAAGACAGAAACTTACAAAAGTTTGAAACCACATGTGCCTGAGTGAACTAGTACAATTGGATTTGGGGGTGAACTGTCCCTTTAAGAACAACTCCAAATCAATGTTTAATATTTTCAAGTTGAAATCAATAAGGGAGGCTTGTGTTTTACATAATATTTTGTTTTATAGAAAATAAATAAGGCTACAGTAGAACTGACAACCGGTAACATATAACTAGCCAGAGCAATGTCTGTAATTAACGTTAACGTGTTGTGTACAACATTATGACGGAGCGGCAGGCTAACGTAATACCCATGCTTTTCGTTTTATGTCAGGAATTACTGACACTTGCATTTGGCTAAACTTAAAAACGATTCAATACATACAGAATTCACTACTCACCATATCTTTGATGAGGGAAATCGCCTGAATATGATGTTTCGGAGGAGCTCTGCCATTGCTGCGCTGGAATTTAAACCTTATCCAACAAACGACTCTCACGCGCATGCGTACACGCGCTTTTGCTGCAAGGTTTGTTCGCCAAACACAAATACTATTTTCACTTCTGTTTGATAAATTTCCAAAGCACAGTTTTATGTTTGGTGAATGAATATTTGTAATTTTTACTTCAGACCATCAGCTAAAATTAATAATGTGGATTTTTTATTTTTTTTCGTTTGGGGCTTATTATGGTGAAGTCGTTTGTTGAGTCAATATTTAATTGTCAGCGTCAACAATTATTTTATTTACAGTGTAATTTTGTTTTATAGCATCTAATAATGAAATAATTAATGCAAAAATATGATCAGATAAAAAAAAAACGTATTTGAAATTTGGTAAAATAAAGTTTGATTGCGACAAAATTTGATTAAAATTGATTATGAAAATAAATAAATAAGTAAATAATTAAATAAAAGACAAAATTGTATGTATGTTTTCGTTTTTACTATTGTTTTGGGATCTAGATCTGATTATGATAAAAAATAATAATAATTATAATTATCAGGATATCTGCTTACCCCCAACTGATTTTAATGAAATTTAACTGAAAGTGTTAATGTTTCTGTATTACACATTTTGTTTAGTTCACACTATATTTACTTATTTATAATGTAAAAATGACACAATGTGTAATAGAGAAGCAATAGAGAAGAACTCCTCTACTGCTCTGATTGACTTTCTGCTGATCAAGTGTTGTTTACATTTAATTGACTCCAATATTCTGTCACCACGGCAACCAGAGTTTACACTGACATCAACACATCTCTCTGAATCTGATCACTTGAGCTCTTTCAACTCTTCACTTTGACAAGTTTCACCAGATTGTCTGATTTGGAAAGTTGATAATCATGGAGCAGCGGCGCCTCAGACGAACCAGGAGTCTTCCAGCACACCTGAAGGACTTCCTGCTGGAGGGTGTCCCGTCGGTTCAGGATCCTGCAGCTGTGATCAGGTTGGATCATACTTACAGCTGTATCTCTTCCCCAGGTCTGAAGGAGCATCACCTGAAGAACGCAGCTGTCCTGCCCCAAATCCGTCCAGCATCCTCAGTGCCTTCAGTGGACGTGGGACAGCAGGAGGAGCCACTCTCGATCCATGGCTACAGCGTTCAGGCCTACCAGGACATCTACCGCTCTGTGGTCGAGCCCATGCTCAAGAGTCGTCCCTACAGCCTTCAGCTGGGCCTGGAGATCAAGCAGCGGCTGTGGGAGGCGCTCAGGTGTCCTGTGATGGAGGAGACGGTGCTGGCTGATGGACGAATCCTCATTACAGAACGCAGATGTGGGTCCAGACCAAACATCATGGCTCCTCGAGTCCATGTGGACATCAGTGGAGAGCCACTGCCTGAGAAGCCCAGCAGAAAGAGGGCCAGACGCTGAGTCTCCACAGTGTCCCAAACCACACTGCAGGCCTGCGTATGTATATAGTGTACATAGTTGTAGAGCAAGTTCACAGTAAGTTTCCTTTTGCATGTTTTGTTTCATCAATTGGTTGTTTTTATTGATTCTTGGTGTTGGTGACTTGAAGTTCTTGGTTTGCTCGGTGGTCTTCAGGATGTTTCAGGTGGTTTTCTGCACGGTTGTCGAGGTTTTCTGAGCGGTTGTTCTCGTGTTGCTGGTCGGTCGCTGGACTCTTCTGAGAGTTTCGATGCGTTTAGTGATTTGCGGTGTCTGTTAGGTTAGGGTAGGTTAGGTTAGGGTCCCTCACGTGGTTTGCAGCTTGACGTGCTGTGAGGGCTTGTGTGCATCAGTGATGCTGAGAGCTTCGCCACTGGTACTTCACAGATACCGGCAGGGTCACCCATAGTGGACTGGTCTCAGCGGAGATGCCCGACTAAGACAAACCAGCTGATTCTGGACAGCAGATTTACATCAGAATCACCTGAAGATGTGGAAGTCGCAGGATTCGTGGAAGCAACCATTCTAAATAAATGAATCAATTAATAAATTTGTCATTTAATACATATAAAAGAGGCTGCGATTCTTTTCTTTTTCCTCTATTCTGTTGATTTTTATCAAGTTATAATTAATAAATAAAAGTAACAATTCTGGAATTATTATTACCCTTTTAACCTGATTTTCAAAACAACCCACCACTAATTGCACTATTAAAACTATAATAAAACTATAATAAAATAAGCCATAATAATAATAATCATAATAATAAAACATACACCAAATAAAACAAATGTTTAAATAATTTATTAAATTTTTTGATTGAATAATATTTACAATTATGTTATAAATATAAATTCTAATTATTTATACGCTGTAAAAAATGAATCAATATAATATTTATTTAAATAAATTTAAATATAATTTACTCCCCAAACTTCATTTCCTAGTGACTGGTCACATCTAAATTCAATTGTGGCAACAGCCTGTCAACATTGGCTCAATGAGAAATAATGTGTTGAGCCAATAAAAAAACCATCAAGTCTGCTCAATCATGTTTTTGGCCCAATTGAATGTTTTAGATTGTGTGCAACAAGCTTTTTCGGTTTCACCTAATTAAAAAATGTATATTGGTTAATTGTATATTGGTAAACAATGCTAAAGCAACTTTACTGAATTGTTTATTCCTCGTTGTCCTAAAAGAAAATGAATAATAGAATATACAAAATCAAAATACACTAAACACTGCCACATTTATTTATTTATTTATTTATTTATTTATTTTCATTAAAGAGACGCTATTGTAAAAGTACTTTAGAATAACAAATACATTACACATTTCAACAAAGTATACCCTATAAATTCCAGCATTTTATTTCTCCTATTATTGACCTCATTCTTTAAGGCGGAAGTTTTTCCGATTTGTTTCAGAACATCTGATTCAGTGCCCTGTGGGAGAAATGACTAGGAATATTAAACAGCAGAAAACAGACAAACTACTTGCTCTACAAACTAGTGTGTTTATGACTCTACAGACAAAGCAGAATAATATATTAAGAAAATATCAGTTTGCAACATCAAGCATCATAACAAACAGTTTTTAACGTCTAAAAATCAATGGAAGTGAATGAGAGCGGAAATCTCCAGCCAAAAAGAAGTGAGGAATAAGGTCAATACATAGAGCTAAAGTGTACTTAATATATATCCCAAATATCTGCAAAAATATATAAAATAAAAAAATAAAAACAGCATAAAATGTGAGTATTTTTGTGCGGTTACTTTAACCATTGTTTAGTGTTGTCACCTGGATACTTTCATTCTACAAAAGATAATCTGAACTTATGAAATCACATTTTTAATGGTTAAACCCATTCATTAACATTAAACATCTAATATATTTGCATATAAACAATGAACGGTTCATTCCGCTGTGGCTCCCCCTGATAAACAGGGGACTGAGCTGAAGGAAAATTAATAAACGAATATTAAAATCGTCAAAAGCACCATCAAATCTAAACAATGGGTTCCTTTACCCAGTTGACACAGATGATTCCAGAACAGAAAAAAACTCACAAAAGTTTCAAGAAAAGTAAAAAAAAAATCTTCAAGAGGAACTTCAAGCACATAAAGCTGCATCTGTTTCAAATATTTACCATGTGAACCTATTTAGTCATCGTATTCCAGGTTGAGTAGATACTATAATCCAAAAGCACAGAAGATGCATTGATAAAGTCTCCTATTGTCGAGCACCATCATCTCCTCTTCCAGGACAGCAGACATTCAGCACAGTTGACAGGGCTCTTAAACTTCATCATGCTCCTGATGCTAACAAGGATTCCCATCTTCATTGCATCTCTGTGGTTTTCCAATGGCCCTGTATGTTAGAAATATAAAACGGCAATGTCAATATTAAGCCTATATCAAATACATATTCAAATGTCACCATAATACTGTGTCATTTTCAAAAACACTATTCCTGTTGGATCACAAATGTAATTTTACAATAACAGAATGTGGATGTTCACATAGTTATTAGCATAGTAACACTATAGTAGTTAATACTTTCCATACTGTGAGAATGCTATGTGGTAAATTGCGCATTTATATGTAAAATGTCACTTTGGCCAGGCACCTGTTTGTTTACCGCAATGCTTCTAAATATCATTTACAGTGAGTAAATAACAGCAGAAGACAAAAAACAGGTTTTCTTTCACACAGAACTGAAAATCCTGCCGTAATTTACGCTCCCTTCATTTATTCCAAACCTATTTTTCTTTCAATCTTCTGTAAAGAAAATATTTTAAAGAAAGCTGGAAACCTGTAACCATCGACTTCCATAGTATTTGTTTTTCCTACTATGGAAATAAATGGTTACAGGTTTCAGCTTTTTTCTAAATATGGCATTTAGTGTTCAACAGAAGACAGAAACTTACAAAAGTTTGAAACCACATGTGCCTGAGTGAACTAGTACAATTGGATTTGGGGGTGAACTGTCCCTTTAAGAACAACTCCAAATCAATGTTTAATATTTTCAAGTTGAAATCAATAAGGGAGGCTTGTGTTTTACATAATATTTTGTTTTATAGAAAATAAATAAGGCTACAGTAGAACTGACAACCGGTAACATATAACTAGCCAGAGCAATGTCTGTAATTAACGTTAACGTGTTGTGTACAACATTATGACGGAGCGGCAGGCTAACGTAATACCCATGCTTTTCGTTTGATGTCAGGAATTACTGACACTTGCATTTGGCTAAACTTAAAAACGATTCAATACATACAGAATTCACTACTCACCATATCTTTGATGAAGGAAATCGCCTGAATATGATCAGTGGCGTAGCGGACGGGCCCGCAGGGCACGCACCGCGGGGGGGCCCCGCGTGATTAGGGGGCCCCACGTCGTCGCAATTTTCAATAATTTAAAATCCAGGAACCGCAATAATCAAACTCTTGGGAACAAGTGTGGACGGAACCAAAGTTCACAGGTCTGTGTTCTCTGAACACCTCTCAAGCGGTGGACTACTTCATTCTGATTGCTTGCCGCCGAACCGCGTCATAGCCAATGAAGACGCGCCGCTGTTTCTCGCCACCGGTTCTCGTTAAAAAATGAATGACTTCTGGCTACTTTGACGCTCTCGCCGCTTTCGGTTTGTGATCGCTCCTCAGTTTGTGAAGGATTCCCCGCGTTGTCGCTCCACTTCGCCTCCTTTTCCCGCACCTCAATTTGTGACATAGATATATACACTAGATATCG